AGAAGGCTGTCACTGCCACCATAACCAGAATGTGGGACTGAAAACTATTTGCAATTAGGACGAGATGAAACTGATAGTTCTTGCCACAATTAAGGAGCAACGTGAAACTGCCTTCCTTCCCCCCTCTAACCCAGTGAGGGTGCTAAAATAATTTTTTTATCACCTCCACACCACTGCTAAGCCTGCATAATACACCATGTTTCAAAGAATAGTCTTTCTGCAGTTATCTATGGAGATTCTCAGTCATCCAGGTCATAGTTGTCTCAAAGGTGTTTTTTTTCCCTTCAAAAGGCAACTGGGCTGTGTTTTCCTTGAGGAAGAAGAAAGGGGGGGGGGGGATTTTTTGCTTCTCATCCAAGACACTTCATCAATTCTGATGAACTTATCTTTCCGTCCCGCCACCCTCAGAACTGATGAAGGTTCTTGGATGAGAAGTGAAACGTTTTCTTCTTTCCAATTGTCTTTTGAAGAAAAAAGCACCTTTGAGTCTTTTTGTTAATCCAACAATAAATATATTTGTAATAATTTTAGGGTTCTTTTTAAAGTAAGAACTAGTCAAATAGGACATACAATAGTACACTTAGCACAAGCCAAAATAGAGGGTTAAAATTGAGATCTGGAGCAGAGGGAAAAAAACATACACTTTGCTCAGCGCACAAAGTCCTTTTCTCTTCATACAGATTTAGCCACAGGAAGAAAAGTAGCTTGGAAGGAGTGATTCAGAAAAGAAAAAATGTCTAACAAGAAAAAAACCCCTACACACACACTTCTCTTTTGCTGCACTTTCCTTGCAAATCATGGCTTCCACAATCTATTTTTGTATAAAAAATGCTTTGTTACATGCATCCATGTGTAACTTGGATGCAGGTCCCCAAGTCTTTGTGTCTTTAAATAAAATATAAATTACAATATGACTTTGTCCCCTACAACATCAAAGGGCAAGTTTAAATTATGCTTTCTTCTTATTCCATAGAATAAGAGACCAGCCATGCTCAGGAATTCTGAGAGTTGAAGTCCACAAATCATAAAGGGGCCATCGTTCCCCACGTCTGCCATAGAGGCACTGCAGAAGGAAAACAAAATAAAGCATGTAGCAATACAACTCTTAATTTGCAACCTAGCTTTATAAGAGTGTTCTTTATAATACTATCAACAAATATTTGTGTGGGTATCTATGGTTTTAGGCCTACAATCAATGTATGCTGGCTGTGACAACTAAAATATTTGGAAGCTGAGGGGGAAAAAAACAGACTGTGGGATCCTTGATGCTCACGGAGCTTGGTGGTTTCTTGCAGACGTTTCATTACCCAACTAGGTAACACCATCAGTACATATGTTACCTAGTTGGGTAATGAAACATCTGCAAGAAAACCACCAAGCTCAGGGAGCAACAAGAACCCCACAGTTCAACCCTAACCTCAGACATCAAAGCTGAGATCCCTGCTCCAGCAACCGAAGCAAGAAGAGATCAGTATTTGTGAAAGTTAACCCCTAACGCAGCTGAGGTTGAACTCCCCCACCCCAATGCCCAGAAAAAGGGAAGGGCCCTGAGTGAGCTGGGAAGAGTGGAGTGGATGCTGGACTGGAAACAAGCCAGGCTCCCAAAGTCCCTGATGGAGCCCCTGGGGAGTTCCGCAGAGCAACGGAGGGAGGAATTTGACCAGGCCACACTCTGTGAAGAGGGGCAATTATGCAGGCCAAAAAAGAGGGAAGGAGGAGTGCATCCTTTTGAAGTGAGAAGCAGACGGTAACGCAGCCCACCTTCTCCACCCATCAGAAGGAGGCTGCAACCAGTGCCTCTTCCACGCAGCAGGCAGGCTGCCCAGGGTAGACAACCACCTCCCTCCCTCTGAACTAGAGCTGAGGAAGATGACCAGCCATATCAAGCACAAGCATACGGAGGCTGACAGGAGGAGGGAGGAGCAGTGCTGATTGAACTGCCCTGCTTTAGGGGAAAGTTTGATGGGGACTCAGACCAGTTAGCCCTATTCCTTGACTCAGCTGAGATCCACCTAGCACGCTATGGACACCTCTACCCATGCCCCAGAGCCATGGTGAATACTATCACAGAGGGGCTAGAGGGAGAAGCAAGGGAATGGCTAACAGCCCTCCACAAGAGGCGAGCTCCCCAACTGCAAGACGTAGATGACTTCCCACGACTCCTAGAGGCCAGATTTGAGGAGGCGGAGGAGGACCCGTATGCAGAAGATGAGCTCGGAAACCTAAGGCAGAGGGGGCGACCCATCAAGGAACACATCCACGAATTTAGGAGAGTCATTGGAAGGCTACCCCCTTTACCAGAGTGGCTGTTAGTGCATTTTTTAAGAACAAGTCTTAACCGCTTACTGGGACATCCCGAACCGCCTCTCTGAGTGGTTCCGAGTAGCAATAAAAGTCGATGGCGGATTGCGCGCAAATGACATGAGAAAGCCACTGGACACGAAAGTGAGAGGTCAAATGAGGGAATAGAGATAGACCCAGCCAAGGTACAAGCTGTCCTAGGCTGGCAACCCCCTCGCACCTGCAGTCAGCTACAAAGCTTCCTAGGGTTCGCGAACTTCTACAGGCAATTCACCCCCTCCTTCGTGAAGATTGCCAAACCCATGATGGACCTCCTAAAGACAGGGAGCCCAGGAACGAAACCCCACCCAGGGCAACCTCTACAGTGAGACCTAACCTGCCAAGAGGCTTTTGAAACACTAAAGGAAATGTTTGCAAAGGAACCAGTACTGAAGCATCCTGACCCCGAACAACCTTTCGTTATCCAAGCAGATGCCAGCAACGTGGCAGTGAGAGCAGTGCTACTCCAAAGGAACAGCCAAGGAAACCTACAGCCCTGCGCCTACACCTCCCGCAAGCTCACAGAGAGAGAGAGATGATGTCAACACTGTACGCAACCTGGGAGAATGTCAAAAAAGCGCCAGCTAAAGCGGCAGAAACCTATAAGAAACAGGCAGATAAACACTGAGCTCTGCAACGGCGATTCCAGATGGGGGAGAAAGACCGTTGGCTTACCTGAACGGTCGTTCTCGGGGCACTGCGAGGAGAGTCCAAGCGTGGGACATGCCCAAGCTATTGAGTCCCAGGGTGGGGAAGAACCGGAGCCTCTGGAATTTCAGCTACTCTTTGTAATATTCTTCTTCCGAAGGAGGCTTCAGCTGAGGCAAAGGTGTCAATTTTATAGTTTTTAATGAAGGCGGTGGGGGAAGCCCACGTGGCCGCCCTGCAAATGTCCAGAATAGATGCTTGGGTCGCCCAGGCTGCTGATGCTGCCGCGCTTCTAGTAGAATGTGCGGTGACCTGGCACAGAGCCGCCTTGCCCTGATGCTCATATGCCAGCTTAATGCAAGCGTGTAGCCAATGACCCACTGTGTGCGAAGAAACCTTGCGGCTGAGGGACCCAGGAAGGAACGAGATGAAAAACGCCTCCGAACCACGAAATTCCTTAGTTCTCTTTACATAAATACCTCATATCCAATTTATGCCATTCACGCTCCCTGGGGTGAGAAGGCTTAGGGCAAAAGTTAGGCAGTATAATCTCTTGCGACCTATGGAACAGAGAGCTAATTTTTGGTGTAAATGAGGGGTCGAGTCTCAGTATAACCCTATCGGGGTGGACCATGAACAAATCCTCCCTGACGGAAAGAGCCGCCAGTTCGGACACCCTCCGTGTAGAAGTGATAGCCACCAGAAAGGCAGTCTTGATGGTTAGGTGGCGTAGACTAGCCGTGTGTAGAGGCTCAAATGGAGGACCCGTCAGAGCCTTTAATACAAACGGGAGGTCCCAGGAAGGGTACTGTTGGACCGTTGGAGGACTGATGTTTGCTGTGCCCTTAAGAAAACTCTTAATCTGGGACTTCCTGGGAGGGGCTTACTGATGGAAGCAGCTTAACATAGCTGCTCCGGAATTCCTGGTCGCGTTATCTGTAAGACGATCATCTATCAGACGTCTGGCAGGTTGTTTACCTTACTCTTTGGGCAAAGAAGAGAAGGGGAGCGGGTTCTGTTGAGCAAGTGCCTTCTGATCTTTGCAGTTTGTGTCTGCGAGGAGAGGGGGGCCAGCTAAGGGCAGAACTGCCTCCGCACCGGGGATCTCCAGCTGCCTTTGCAGCATGAAGTAAGCTATCTCTTTCTCAGCACAAGGCTTGATTTATTTGATTTCAACACGAGCAGGACTGGTATGCGAGAACTTTAATTGTTTATTCAAATCTTAGCTTCATTTTTACAAGACCTTCTTCCGTTAACCTAGCTAATAAAGAGACACTTAAAATGGCGACGAGCACACTGAACTGCCTCGTAACAATGCTTATCTTTTGAAACTTTTTGTAAAGCCCTACGGAGCTTTAAAATCTCAAAGGAAAGAGAGAGCTTAC